CCAGGAACTATTAATATACCTGCAGCCACGGGGCCGGCGCTGTGCCCGTCTGCGCCCTGCCATTCCAGCCCTTGCCAGTGCCGTCCTCTCCTCGTGTCTCTGGTGGGCCCCGAGGGGTATGACCAGCTCCCTTTTTTAGGCCTCTCCATATGCCAGCTGCTCTCTCTGGCCATTTTGGTCCCTGTGGGGGTTCAGTAACCTGCCCCGCAAGGCCACAGGACTAAGCAGAGCCCAGAGATGATAGCAGGTGATGTCTCTGATGCAGTTCAACTAGGCAGCACTGGCCAGGACTTCCTGGGCTCTGTCCCCTCCTCCCCTCAGGTCCAGGCCATGGGGTAGGCATGTCGGGGACGGGCAGGCTGGCCCATGTGCTGCTTGGACCTGCTGGTCAGCCGGAAGCCAGGATATGAACGCAGGCTGCTGCCCTTTGCCACCATGCTGCCTTACTGGGCAGGGCTGCCTCCTGGGGGACCTCTCATTCCCGTCCCCAGGACCCACTGTCATGGCGCTTCCCGCCTGTCAGACATGCCGGTGCTTCCTGTGCCCTGGCCCAGGAGACCCTGCCTGCCCCTGAGCTGAGGCACAGGGATGTGCCATGCCCAGGGCACTTGGGCTGCAGGGCAGGGCTGGGTACAGCTCACAGTGCGCCCTGTCCCTGCCACTGTGGTCAGGAGTGTGTGAGGTGAGCCCCTTCCTCAGGTGGGCTCTGGGTGGGTGGATGCCCCCTCAGAGGCCCTGATGGGCCTGCTCTGGGCCTCTGGTCTTGCAGCAGTGTGTCTAGTCCCTTTTTCTCAGGCAGCAAGTAACTGGGGGCCTTGGAGCTCTGAGTGGGGAGGGTCCACAGCAGGGGCCAGCTCAGGGTGACCTCCAGCCCTGCTCATCGTGACTTGTCCAGTGGGACCTGCGCCCACCCCCTGGGGCATTCAGGTCTTTCCTGACCAGTCTGGGCACTGCCCAACCCCGCTCCAGCAGCCTTCTCTGAGCTGCTGGTACCTGGTGCTCCCTCCTGCCCAGGGCAGCCCCTCTGCACCAGGCTGTGTGTGAGCTTCCGGCCTGGATGAGGGTGTGCTGGCTGAACCATGGGAAGACTACCTACCCACTGGTGGCCTTGAGCAAGGCTTGGGGGGAACTGGTGAGAAATGGGTGGAGAGGGAGGCTCGAGAGGCAGGGGGTCGGGACCTTGTAACTTGCCTGCAACTTCCTGTTCCGGGTCGTTTCCACTTAGAGGCTTTCTGCACCAATAACTGTGGAATCTGTCACCTTCCTGGGAACACAAATGCACAAGGAAAATAATCCGAGTGTCTTTTACAGCTCAGAAGGGGAAATGGATGATCTATCTCACGGATTCTCAAAATAGCTGGGGTTTCTCCAAGCGCAATGAACTGCTTCTGCCTGAGTTGGGTGCTGGGGCCTGGGCTGGCTTCTCACCCTCTTCTGGCCACTGGCCGGAGGCCCCTACTCTGCTCAGGTCAGGGAGGGGCTGACGGGCGTCTGCCTCTAGGGATTGCCTTGGCTGCCCTGGTGCTGTTGGGGGACTGTGTCCACTCCAAAGCCTCCTTCAGGACAACCTGGTTCCTAGGGGCTGCCCTCAGGACCCCCTTGCCCCCGCCGCAAGGGGACTGTGGCATGACTCCTTGGTGGGCTCAGTCTGGGACAGTTTTATATTTAGCTGTGCTGTGGCTCTGGTGCCACTCGGGTTACATCTGGCACACAAGCCGGCAGAGCCAGGGCAGGCACGGGCTCTCTTCCAGCATCGCAGCAGAATTCGATCGCGCCAGCCCGGCCCAGAGTTGCTCCCCGTGGGGAGGTCCGTGGTGGGGGCTGACGGCCGGCAGCTGGGGTGGCAGCCTGGGTGGGCAGAGCGGAGTAGCGGGGCTGGTGGCGGGCAGTATGGATATCAGCTTGAGCCTGGTGGCCCGGGAGGCCAGCCAGGGGCTGAGCCCTGGCCTCAACGGCTTCCCCCGGCCTGCACCTCCCAAGACAACCAAGAAACCTAAAAAGGCTGTTCTCTTTTTTGAGGTGGAGATTCTAGATGCAAAGACGAGGGAGAAGCTGTGTTTCCTGGACAAGGTAGGACCGCAGTGCCCGTGACACGGCCACAGGCCCCAGCTCCTTCCAGCCCTTTCCCCCACCCCACCCCTTCCCTTCAGAGGGCACAGGAGGAATGCTGTGATGTGTGGGACAGAGTGGGCAGTTGTGGCCCCTGGGTGTGCCTGGGAGCTGGCCTCCTGGCTGGGGGAGGAAGCAAGGCAACCTCAGTGGAGCCCGTGGTCTACACTGAGACCTGTTCCCCTGAGGCCAGTCCCCGGGCAGGGGTTTGGACCCCACCATTCCTGGGCAGAGAGGGGCAGCAGGGGAGCAGGCCCCACTTGCCTTGTCGGCCTTGCTGGGCTGGGGGCCATCCTGGCTTCCTGGTGGCACTGGAGACCCCTGCTGAGTCCACACTGGCAGGGCCTTTGCTGTACCTGCCTTGACCAGTAGGTGGGGGCCTGGACCCCATTCCTCTCCTGTGCCTGTAGCTGTGGCTCAGTCTTTTCTCCTGACCCCTCTCCATCCTGGGTCTGGGCTCCCCCCTGGGGCTGATGCCTCCTTGCTGGTCTTTCCCCAGGTGGAGCCCCAGGCCACCATTGCAGAGATTAAGAACCTCTTCACCAAGACTCGTGAGTCCAAGGAGTGCCACAATGAGCATGGCCACTCCTTTGGGCAGGGTCCTCTGGGTGGGACCATGTGCTGTGTGTTTCTCCCTCAAGGACCTGTAGAAATGCCTCCGTGTGGCCCAGGCCTCTCTGGGTTTGACTGCAGCAGCGCCCCCGCGTGGCCATCAGGAGGAGTGCCCTTGTTGGCTTTTGGAAGGACAAAATCCTGCTCTGGCAGTGCTATCCTGGCCTGTGTCCTGGAACAACACAGGCTCAGAGGCCTTGCCTGGGAGTTGGGGGGGTCCCTGAGTCCCGGCAACACTGAGAAGCTGGCACAGTGGGTGGGCAGCTTGTAGGCTAGGTCCTGCCAGGCTGAGGGTTGTGATACTATTCTCCCCACAGATCCACAGTGGTACCCCGCCCGCCAGTCCCTCCGCCTGGACCCCAGTGAGTACAGCTGTCCGCTGGGCTCACCCCCTGGCTTCCGGGTGGCAGTGGGAGAAGCTGGGGCAGCCCCTGAGTCCTGGCCCACCTCTCTGCAGAGGGCAAGTCCCTGAAGGACGAGGATGTGCTACAGAAGTTGCCTGTGGGTACCACAGCCACGCTCTACTTCCGGGACCTGGGGGCCCAGATCAGCTGGGTGACGGTGAGTCCTGACCCCTCCATCAGCCGCCTTTGCCACCAGCCACATCGGGAGACTCACTTTGCTCCCTGGGCCCTCAGGTCTTCCTGACCGAGTATGCTGGGCCCCTTTTCATCTACCTGCTCTTCTACTTCCGGGTGCCCTTCATCTATGGCCACAAATATGACTTCACGTCCAGTCGGCACACAGTGGTGCAGTGAGTGGGGTCAGGTGGGTGGGAGGGGGGAGGACAAAGGACAGGAGGCCTGTCGGACCAGCCCCTGCTTCCCCACCAGCCTTGCCTGCACCTGCCACTCTCTGCACTATGTCAAGCGCCTGCTGGAGACGCTGTTCGTGCACCGCTTCTCCCACGGCACCATGCCCCTGCGCAATATCTTCAAGGTGGGTGCCCGCCACTCATCCTCCTGGCCCTGAGTCCTCCCGGGAGACCCGCCTGGCCCTGCGTCCCCGGTCACTCACCCCTCGGCCCATCCCTGCCCGCTTCCTTTCAGAACTGCACCTACTACTGGGGCTTCGCAGCGTGGATGGCCTATTACATCAACCACCCTCTCTACACGCCCCCCAGTAAGTGGCTTCAGCCTGAGCCCCACCCTCGAGCGAGCCCTTGGGGCACTAGCCCTAGTGCCCTCCCCTCACGGTCTCCCCTCCCTGCTTCCTCCTTAGCCTATGGAGCTCAGCAGGTTAAACTGGCGCTGGCCATCTTTGTGGTAAGGAGTCTGGACAGTGCTTGGGGGTGGGGGGCCTGGGGGCTCTGGGCTGACCCTGCTCCTCCTCGGACAGATCTGCCAGCTTGGTAACTTCTCCATCCATATGGCTCTGCGGGACCTGCGGCCAGCTGGTGAGTGGTCTACTGGGGTTTGGGAGTAGTTGGGCCAGGTGGGAGAGTCTCACCTGTTCCTCCTGTCCTGTCCCCCAGGGTCCAAGACCAGGAAGATCCCGTACCCTACCAAGAACCCCTTCACGTGGCTCTTCTTGCTGGTGTCCTGTCCCAACTATACCTACGAGGTGAGGGCCGACCTTTTCTCCCCACACCTTCCTGGGTTTAGGGTCCCTTGTGGAGGGGCAGCCTGGTGGGGAAGGTGCTTTCAAGCTTGAGGTCTGGAGATGGAGACTGCTGTTCCTGTTCTGGTGCTGGGAGGCGTGTGGCCTGTCCTGTCGTATAGCACTTCCTTTACCTGGGGTCCCTCCACATTGGAGCTTGTTCCTCACTGTCTCTGAAGAGGGTTGAGGGGAGGTGGCAGAACAGCCTATGTGGCCCGCCTGCTTGCCCTCACCTCCACCTGTGCTGCCCACAGGTGGGGTCCTGGATTGGCTTTGCCATCATGACACAGTGTCTCCCAGGTGAGCCCGTCACCCCTCCCTTGGTGGTGTCCTGCCATCCTGCTGGGCAGCCCCATCTTGACACCCCCTGCTCTGTCCCACAGTGGCCCTCTTTTCCTTGGTGGGCTTTACTCAGATGACCATCTGGGCCAAGGGCAAGCACCGCAGCTACCTAAAGGAGTTCCGCGACTACCCACCCCTGCGCATGCCCATCATCCCCTTCTTGCTCTGAGCCACTTCCCCTTCACCCGGGCTCAGTCAGGCCGGGCTCTCATCCCCACCCCAGTATCATTCTGGGGTGGCTGCAGCTCTGCATCTGGAATAAAACCTGTCTGCCCCAGCTGGACTTGGACTGTTCCTTTATGGGGCTTGGGGACACCAGACACACTGCAAGGCGTGGCTCAGGGGCCTGGAGGCTTTTATTTCTTGGACTGGTCCAGAGGATGGTGGGTGACCTACAGAGCTGGGTCCACTGCAGATTCCTGGGCTTTGGCCAAACGGGCCTCCCTCTGTTCCCGCCGCTTCTTCCGCTGGAGCAGCCGCCGCTCCCGTTCAAACTCCTTCATGCGCTTCACGTAGCTGAGGGGAGAGCGGAAGGGTCTCAGCTCTGGGTGGGACTCCCCTGTCCACTGCCCCTGGTTCTGATCTCAGGAGGGAGCCCATTCCTCTGTTTGGTGCTGGCCGGTGATACCCCAGGTGCTTCCAGCCACCTGCCCAACCTGGAGCTCCCCCCCCGCCCCCCCGAGTCCCCCCTGCTGGCCTGGGCCAGCTGAGGAGTGGGCTAGTGGTGCCTGCCGTGCGTGGGGTCGGGGGCTCACTCGAGGTGCTCGCAGTAGTCCCAGTCGTGCTGCTCGTGCTTGCAGCCCAGGAAGTTGGGGAAGCTGTCACGCTTGCACTTGAGCAGCTTGATGAGGTAGTGGGCGCAGTAGTCGCGCTGCTGCAGCGTCAGCTGTGCCTCGTTCATCTCCTGCTGCGTGGCCACCATCACTGAGGGGAGCGGCAGGGCTCAGCACAGGTGGACAGTCCGCCCCTGCCCCTACTCCAGGGACAGTCCCCACTGAGGACATGGTGGCATGCTGATGGAGAAGGATTACAGCCATCCCTTGAAGTGTCTTTTCCCAGTGTGTCCAAAGGTAACCCTGGCACTGAGGCCCGACAGGAGAGGGGTGGCCCGCTCACCCCCACCTCCTCATCAACAGCACCGGGGGTCCTGCCTCCCCTCCCCAGTGATGTCATAACCCTTCATACAGCCCCTGCTGCAGACTGGGGCTCAGAAAAGCTTCCCCCAGCGCTCCCCTGGCCCCTTCCCAGTATGGGGTAGGGCTGCAGGGTGGAATCCCAGCTCTGCACTGGCCATCAGTATGTCCACTGTCACCTTCCTCCTACACAAAGGATTTACAGCCTCCAGCATGGAAGTTCCCTGAGCCAATGACTAGCCATATCACTCAATGACAAGGACAGTTCTCAGAAATGCATCATTAGGTGATTTCATCACCGTGTGAACATCAGAATGTACTTATACAAACTAAGCAACAGGTGATGGAGCTTCACACTGTCACATATGGTCTGTGGTTGACTGAAGCTGCTTATAACAAACGGTACTTAGGCTCAGGCCTCAAGAAAGCTGGACTATCCTGTGGTCGTGGTATCCCACTCCCTTGGCAAAACTGACCTCGGGGGAAATCAACCTTCAGGAGGCTGACGGGGGCCAAGAGGAATTGTGGCTGTGTACCCTAGCCTGTGCTCACAGTGGCTGGTGACCCTGTGTCCCTGGCCTCCTTGCTGAGCACCCTGCCAAATCAGTGGGACCAAGCCTTCCTCTCCTCACCTCTGCCTGTCTTGGGCTTGGCTCCCTCCACCCACACCACAATGTGGCCACGTATCAAGTTCAGGCTGGCTTCTTCTGCTTCCCAGCCACGATTCTCTCTCTCCCTCGGCTGGCTTCTACTCCATCATGCCAGGCGGCTCCCAGCTCAGCTGGCTTCCTCGGGATCTCCCTTTCTCTCTGTTCCTCTGCACCTTCCCTGGGCTTCTGCCCATTTCTATGCTGCCCCAAACCCAAACATTAACTGTTTGTTTCCTGAGAGCCATTCATGGATTAGAGTGGGTCCTTATCCATGGCTTCAACTGCCAACCTTTATGTTAAGGAACCCAATCTGGTCCTCCCACCACACACATCTTCTAGCCCCAGGCCCAGCTATCCACTTATATCCCCCCCGCCGAGACACCTACACTTGGGGCTTAGAGAGCAATCTGACTCCTCCTGTGTTTGGAAATTATAATCAGCCAGCAAGGCCTTATGGGGTACCTGCTGCATGCATGGTGTATTCATGGGTACACAGCAGGGGACATGACAGACAAGTCCCTGCCCTTGGAGGGAGTCAGAACAGACAGGGAGGACACGGTGTCACAGACTGTCTGGCAATGGTAAGGATGAAGGAGACAAAACAAGAGAGAGGGAGTGTTGGGTACACGGGAGCAGAGTGTTCAGAAAACAGGTGTAAAGGGCTTGTGAGAGGCCAGGTGGCAGGCTGCCGTCAACATCAGCAGTGGGCTGTGAGTGGGAGTGTAGGCTAAAGCCCCTGGAGACAAAACTCGGGAGCCCTGGCATGCAGAAGACGCTTGAAGCCAGGACACTGGTGGAGACCCACACTTCCTCCCAGGCAGTGGTGGACAAGGCCTGAGCCTTGGGGCACCAAGGGGAGGCCAAGAGGAATTTAGCGTAGAAGCCCCCAGGGAGGTTGAGTCTTGGAGGCCAGGTGAGGAGGGTCTTTCAGGAGGTGTCAGTGGTGAAGGTTAGGTAAGAAGTGGGCACCGACGACAACGGGGCTTGGTGACAGAGTCCTCAGGAGGGCTTGACAGAGCCCTTTAAGTGAAGTGGCACGGGGAGAGGGGGAGGTGGGGCCAGGGGGTTGTACAACAATGGGGAACAATGAAGGGAAAACTAGTGTCAGAGAGGGAGGCTGGCTGAAGGAGAATCCTTGAGTCTGGGCAGATGGAATGGGGGCCATAAAGGGCTCATCTGTAGCAGGGGCTTAGGTGAGGAGGAGCGAGAGGGCAAATGGGGGCAGCGAGCCCAAGAGAGCCCCTTTTTGGTGGCTTGTTTTCTCAATAAGAGGAGGGAGGAAGAGACAGTGGCTGTCTGGGGATGTGTCAGGAATGCCAGGCAACATCAAGGAGCCACTGGAGGAGCACCCAGGAGGCGGTCAGCAGCCCCCACCCAATCATGTTCTGCCGGCACACGGGTAGATGCCAAGGAAAGGGGCCGTAGCCCCCCACCACGGTTTTGGTTTGGCCAGCAAGAGAAAGGCACAGGGGGCCCCGGTGTTTGGGAAGCAAGTGCACGGGGAATGCAGGCTCAGATGTGACTTTAGGACTACCTGGAGAGGGGACACTCTCCAACATTCTCTCAGACACAGACCTTTCTTTACCCCTATTACTTGGAGGTTCTCTGACCCCAAGTCGACGTCCACCCAGCAGTCACAGCAACCTCTAGACACAGCAATCTGTGTCCCTCCTCTGCTTAGTAGCATGGGCTCTGTCCTCTCCGTGACTCTCCCCCGGTCACCTACTACTCATTCCCTTCTCATCTTCCACCCACTGCCTCCTAAGCCTGCTCTGATACCCGCCAACTGTGCCCCCCACGATCTGCCTGGTCCCGCCGTCTTCCCTCCCGGGCTGGGAGGTCACTGAACACGGCGCCTGCATCTCTAGTCCCTGATGCATCTCCGCGGTGCCCAATTTGGGACTCGGTCCAGAGCTGGCCTCCACACGACTGTGATATTACTACGTATAAAAAGGAGTGCGCGCCGGGCGAGCTCCGCGGCCGACCTGCCCGCCCGCGCCGAGCCCTGCTCGCAGCCCCGGCACCGCAGAACCCAAACGAGCCGCGCAGAGGCCCCCGTGCGCGGCGCGAGCCCGCCCTGCGTCGTCTGTGCAAACCTGAACAGGAGCGACACCTGCACGGGGGTACAAAGAACATGTCCCTTCCCTGACAAGCCTTCTCAAGGCTCCCCGCTGTCCCCAGGACAAAGGCCAGCTCTGGCAGCCTCTCTTCTGTCCCCGGGCCTTTGCTCGAGTCGGTCCCCTTCCTGGAATGCCCGACACTCAGCAGGGTCTCCGGCGCCTGGGACTTCCTCGCACGGAGGCCAGGTCCGCGCAGAGGATTCTGAGTTGCCTGCGTCCCGCGTCCGCGCCCCACTCCCGCCAGCCGCGCCTGCGCACTGGGCCTTACCGCGCTCCTTGCGCTCCGGGAAGCCGTACTGGGGCGGGAAGGTGGGCATCTGCAGAGGGTCGGGCTCCACCGAGGCATCGCCCAGGTAGCGCCGGGCCAGGTGCGCCCCCATGTCTGCTCCGCCGCAGATTCCAGCCGGCCGGGGTCACCTCACTCCTACCCGGAAGCACTGCCTTCTTCCCCACCCAGGACTTCCGGGTCGCCCAGGCCGCAGCGGGGATCATAGAGAGGAACCCTCGGAGGACTTCCTGACTGGCGAGCGCCACCTGGCGGCCCGAAAGAGGCAGGACAGGGGCGGCTCCGGCTTGCTGGACATGGTCGGACCCTGGAGGGGCGGTTGAGCCTGATTCTGGAGCATAAATGAAAATTGCATTTCATATTTTCCAGAAAGAAGCTTTTATTCTAAAACATTAGAATTTCTCTTTGGGTCAAGAAGTAATAATACTGATTATATCATTAGTGAATATAAAAAATATGACTTTTGTTTTTTTGTGGTGCTGGAGTTGGAACCTAGGGTCTTGCCCAGGCTGGGTACAGTTGTCTGCCACGGAGCTGCACCGCCGCCCTGAATGTCAAAATTTTATTTTATTTCATTTTATTTGGTACCAGGGATTGAATTCAGGGGCACTCGACCACTGTGTTTTATTTAGAGACAGAGTCTCACTGAGTTGCTTAGCGCTTCGCTGTTGCTGAGGCTGCTTGGAATTCGCCATCCTCCTGCCTCAGCCTCCGGGGCTGCTGGGATGACAGGCATATGCCATGGCGCCCGGGAGAATATCAAAAATTTAAATTAAGTTATTTAAAAGAAATTTGTTAATGAAATAAAGTCAAATTAAAATGAGCACAAGTCACCCTAGTGCTGGGTTCCATTCCAGCACTGCAAAACCAAACCGAACAACCTCGAAAGCATGGAAAGATTTTATTTAACGAGGTATTGCGGGTTGAATCGTGTCCTCCAAAATACAGATGAAGTCCTAACCCCTTAGGAAGCAGCCCCTGAATGGTGACCTTATTTGGAAATAGGGTCTTTGCACGGTGTAATGAAGTTAAAATGAGGTCATACCAACGCGGCGGTCATCCTGGTCCAGCGGCGGGTCCTTAGCAGAGGAGGAAGGTTGGCGGTGACGCGCACCCGGGAAGGAAACCGCATCCCGACGGAGGCTGAGGCTGAGCGGGGTGTACAAGCCAAGGGTCACAGGCAGCCACCAGAGGCTGGGGGGGGGTGCAAGGCGGCTCCCCCAGAGCCTTCACACAGGGGGCGCCGCCAACACCCCAGAACTGTCACACCAGACATCTGTTTTTTTTTTTTTTTTTTTTTACAGCCACCTGGTTGGGGCGCTTGGTGACACCAGTAAACTAACACGCAAGGGCATTTGTCCTTTTTCCTACTTCAACTCCGGTGGGTCAATCCTCTCACCCTCCAAAGCAGCGTCCAGGCTTGGGACTTGGTCATGGGCAGCGGCACAGCCAGATTCGCGTCATTTGGATGCTGGAGGAGACCACGGGAGAGCCAGGGGGAGGCAGCCCGGAGCCCCCAAGGCGGGCAGTCTGCGCCAGTGACTCCATTCTGAGTGTAAGTGCTGAGGTGGGGCGACCCCGGGCCCTGTCTGTGCAAGGGGACAGCCACCATCTGCCCGGCCCCATCATAGGGCACGAAGGGATAAATGAAATGTCCTAATAAAATGACCACCTGTGAACTTAGCCAGTTAATCAGAAGCACACAGATGCGAGGACATGTCAGACCCACATCCAGGCCACCCAATGAAGCAACCCCTCTCTCGAGACCCATAACAGGAGGCGTACCCCAAGACGGGATGTGGCGGCACCCTGACCTGGTCACCTGGTCACTTGCCAGGAGCCTTGCCCAACAAAGTCACCACAGCGATGCGCCTCCAATTCGCTGTCTTTGGGCTTCAGCAGAGTGTGGTTTCTCCTACTGGTGATGACCACACTGGCCCACTCCAAGCTGGCCCTTCAGGCTGACTCCCTGAGACTGCCATCCATCAGGACCTTGGCCTAGACTAGATTGGGTTCCTGCACTTGTTTTTTTGTTTTGTTTTGTATTCGGAATTGAACCCAAGGGTGCTTAACCATGAAGCCCTTTTATTTAGAGACACGTTTCTCACTGAGTTGCTTAGGGCCTTGCTGTCGCTGAGGCTGGCTTTGAACTTGCGATCCTTCTGCCTCAGCCTCCCCAGCTGCTGGGATGACAGGCATGCGCCACCACACCCCACAAGTTCCTGCACTTTGACAGCTCTGCGCAGTTCTTGGGCTGGTTCCTGATCTTTCTAGATCACCTACACTGAGTCTTTGCATGTGTATCTGCTCTGTGCCTTTGCTCTCTGTTCAGTCTCCGGAACCTGTGAGTTTCCTGTATCATATATATGCATAATTTTATCTATCTATCTAAGTGGTGTGAAGTGTGCTGTGTGACTTGAGCCTTACAGATATTAGTAGTTCAGACTGGAATAAAAGAACCGGTAATTGCTCCGCTGTGACAACAGGGGACCCACAAGTATTTGGTGAATGGCAACTGCTGAAAGAGGTGTACTCGGCGGATTTGTTGTTATTCAATACATCTGACTCTGGAAGGACACAGATGTGTTTGGTCTGTTAATGGTGTAGCTCAGTCACAACAGAGTTGGACAAAGCGTGTTAAGTACTTATCACAGTACTGGGCTTGTGACATCAGTTAAGTGCATTCTTCTCCTTACCCACTGTGTTGGTCAGCTTTGTGTCACTCTGACAAAACACCTGAGACAATCAGCTTATAAAGAGGAAAGGTTTATTTTTCTTCCTGGTTTCAATCCATGGTCACTTGGCCCCATTGCTTTGGGACAGTGGTGACATAGTCCGTCATAGCAGGAGCCATCAGCAAATTGGCTGCACTGTTAATGTTTGTGCAGAATGTGACTCTCCCTGTCCTCTCCATGGCCACCAGCCCCATGGGAGGCATCATCACCTCTTGCCAGCATGAAACAGAACCCTCCCATGGTTCTGTTTCATGTGGAATAAGAACTGGACTCGGTCCACCAGGAGGTCAGGGGTGGCCCCCCAGAATCTGTATTTCTAGCGTATTCTCAGGTAATGGTGAGGTTGCTGGTCTGGGGACCACCTCACAAGAATCTCTGGGCTAGATCTTCCTGACCCTGGGGGTGCAGCCTTCATACCGTGGTCTTTGTGGATGGCGCTCCTGGAGTTGTGCAGTGCACGGGTTGCACAGCTGCCCCAGGCAGCCCTGCCCAGTCCTGGGTGTCCCCCCTCCTCCCTGACTTCTTTTTCTCTGTGCTTTAGTGGATCATCCAGAGATCAAAGCTGGGAGGAAATCCACAAAGGCAAATTAAGGTCCCACTTCCTTTGCCACTGCCAGAAGTGACTTCCTCTCTTAGAAACTCTGTTCATTCATTTGTGAAATGAAATCAGTAATACCCACCTCCTAGTGTTCCGGGACAGGAACCCCCCGGCGCCCCCACCCTGTTCATGGTTTTATTTTTCTTCTTAACATTTATCACTGTCTAAACGGAACCCATCTGACTCGTTGATCTTGTGTTATTTTGTCAGTCTCAGGAGCAGATTTTGTCTGTCTTGTTGACTGACTTATTCCTTCCTCACCTAGCATGGGGCAGGCCCACAGACGTAGGCTGGGATTTAAGTGTGTCCCCAAATTTCATATGTTGGAAACTTAATCCCCAAAGTCATGTTAATGGTAGTGAAGAGACGGAAACCTTTAGAGGTGATTTAAAATATATATATATATATATTTTTTGGGAAACCTGGCATTGAACTCAGGGGCTCTCGACCACTGAGCCACATCCCCAGCCCTTTTTGTTTCTTATTTTGAGACAGGGTCTCACCCAGTTGCTTAGGGCCTCATTAAGTTGCTGAGGCTGGCCTTGAACTCGAAATCCTCCTGCCTCAGCCTCCAGAGCTGCTGGGATAACAGGCATGTGCCACCCATGCTCAGCTAGAGGTGATTTAGTTTTGGGGAGGAACCCTCGTGAATGGAGGGAATGACTTTGTTTGGAAAAACAAGCTCTCTCTGGTGAGCTGGCTCATCTCACCATGGGTACCCTCTGCCATGATATGATGGAGCCAAAAAGCCCTCCCCAGATGTGGGTATCATGCCCTTGGACACTCCAGCCTCTGGTCTCTGAAACCATGATCTAAATAAAACTTTCTACTTTATAAGCTACACAGTCTCAGGTATTCTGTCATAGCAACAAAAAACAGACAGATTCAAGGGGCTGAATATTTGTCAAACAAACCCCAAATGAATAATTGAAGAGGGCATTTGGGGGGATCAGTCAGATGGTTGCATGAAAAGTTCCCACTGCCTGGCACCTAGTAGGTGCCTGTCACGAGCAGCTTCTCAGCCTTGTCTGGTTACCAGGAGTTCCCTTCCGGATATCTGCACTGGACCCCGGACCGCGACGTACGCGAACACCAAGCACGAACTCGATTGCCTTTTGAAATGCTGGTTTATTCGCACACCACACAAAGCAATACACGAGGTGACTGGCTCACACTGCACGATCTTACTCTCAGGCGATGAGAGTTGATTGTGAGCAAATACATGGAGTTTCCCTCGCGCTTATATACTCTATATGTTTACAACAAACTTGTTTATGTCTAACTTATCTAACATAAGCACACTACCTAGTTACATCATCAACTTATCTAACATGGGCATACTATCTAGTCATCCTATAACCAAAACATGTTTACAACTAAAAAGTCACTTAGTCACTGCAAAGTCCAAAACAAGTCCAAAACAAGTCCTTTTGCTGATTCATGTTGTTTATTCATCCTTGATGTTTACTCCTGTCATTGCCCAATATGTGCTCGCTCTTACTGTCACCATGTAACTAGAAGGTCACTCTCCAAGTAGACATTGTCTAACTGGAAAGCCAAACAAGGTGCTATGATGAGCAGCCCTCGCCATGGAGGCATAAGGGGTCCCAGCCAGGAAGACCCTGGAGGAGGCATGAGGCTCCTTGTTCCCGAGGCCCCAGGGCTCAAGAGTTTCAGCCAGCGCGTGCTTACCCAGGGTTGGGGATGAGAAGGTGACGGTGTTATGGTAGGGTGACATAAAACAGTGTGTGCGCCCGTGGGAAGGGGTCTGGTCTCTGTCACCCATGAGACATACTCTTCCTGTTTTTTCCTCTATCAGTCACCCGACAAGGA